GCGCAGCGCTGAAGCTCCTAGCGGCCGCCGATAACTCCAGCCGACTTGCCCCAGCCGTGGCGGCGGGGGAGCCTCCCGCGGAGGCCCAGCAGCAGCAGCAGCAGCAGCAGCAACAGTATTTGCTGCAGCAGCTGCTGCAGCACCAGCAGCGAGTAGGACCGTCCGTTGAAAATCCGTCGGCTGCGGAGCTTGCCGCTGCAGTAGCAGCCCTGCTGCAGGAGCAGCAGCAGCAGCAACAGCAGCAGCAGCAGCAGCAGCAGCAGCAGCAGCATCAGCAGCAGCAGCAGCAGCAGCAGCAGCAGCGTCACCAGCCACATTTGCAGTTGCTGCACCACCAGGATGAGAAGGCAGCAGGTGTGGGCAAAGGCCTGCAGCGGCAGGTGCAGCAGCAGCTGCAACAGAAGCTTCAGCAGCAACTACAGCAGCAGCTGCAGCAGCAGCTGCAGCAGCAACTGCTGCAGCAGCTGGAAATGCCGCCCCCGGGATTTGGGGCGGCAGCTCAAGGTGTAGATACAGCTGCGCTCACCGAAGGCGCGTCAGCAGCAGCAGCAGCAGCAGCTGCAGCAGCAGCAGAAGCTGCAGCGGAAGCAGCAGCAGCAGCAGCTAGCGACGGCCATCTTGAGAGTGAAAATGACGCTCTGCTGCAGGAGTGCAGCGAAACGGAGAAGCAGCAGCTGCTGCTGCAGCAGGATGGGACGTTGCTTCAGCAGCAGCTGCTGCAGCAGCACCCGACGTTACTGGAGCAGCAGATGCTGCAGCAGCAGCTGCTGCTGAAACTGCAACAACAGCAGCTGCAGCCAGACGATAGCAACAGCAGCAAGACGAGCAGCAAAAGCAGCAGCAACGGCAGCAGCATAGACAGCAGCAGCAACGGCAGCAGCCTCAACGGCGACAGCAGCAACAGCAGCAACAGCAGCAACAGCAGCAACAGCAGCAGCGTCAGCAGGAGCTGGTGCTCGCAGCAGGCATGCAGCACCGACACTACGGAGACACCTTGGCTGCAGTCAGCAGCAGCAGCAGAAGCAGCAGCAGAGCAGCAGCTGCTCTCGGGGGCGGATTCTCCCCGTGATTCAGCTGCTGCTGCTGCTGCTGCTGAGCTGCTGCAGCCAGCCTCGCTGGAAGCTGTGGCTGGGGGCCATGCTGCTGCTGTTGCTGCTGCTGCTTCCAGCGCCAGCACCAGCACCACGGCGAGCAGCAGCAGCAGCCACCACCACCACCACCACCATCACCACCAGCAGCAGCAGCAGCACAGGCAGCAGCAGCAGCAGCAGCAAATCAAGAGTCTCTATCGCTCCCTAGGACTCGTCAACTCCAAAGCGAAGCATACAGACGTTGGCCGCTCTCTGGCGGTGCAGCGCTTGCGGCAGCAGCAGCAGCAGCAGCAGGCGTTGGAGAAATCGCTGCAGCCGCTGCTGCAGCAGCAGCAGCAACAGATGCAGCAGCTGCTGCACCGCACAGATTTCCCGCATGGAACTCTGGAGGAGCGCTGCTTCTCTTTGCTGCAGGATCTGCAGCAGCAGCAGCAACAGCAACAGCAGCAGCAGCAGCAGCTGCTACACCCCAACCTAAGCAATCTGTTCGTGCCGCCGCAGCCGCAGCAGCAGCAGCATCTTGGGGTTTCATCATTAAGCAGTTGCCCTGTGGGCAGCAGGTTCAAGGGACACTGGCAGCAGCAGCAGCAGCAGCAGCAGCAACAGCAGCAGCAGCTGCTGCAGCAGCAACAGCATGACCCGCGGCAGCGATTTAATGGCATCCGGCAGCAATCATTTGGCGCCCCCCTAAATTATCTGGGCCTCAACGGTGCAGCAGCAGCAGCAGCAGCAGCAGGCATGGGTCCCGCCTGGATCCAGCAGCAGCAGCAGCAGCAGCAGCAGCAGTACCCCTCTTACCCAGAAGACTGCGCGACGCTTCCGCGCCTGAATTGCGGCCGCCGCAGCAGCCCTGATGGAGCTTCCCTGTATGGCTGCTTGCAGCTGCAGCAGCAGCAGCAGCAGCTGCAGCAGCTGCAGCTGCAGCAGCAGCTGCAGCAGCAGCTGCTGCTGCCAGGAGCCCTCGGTGGCTGCAGCAGCGCGAGAGGGCCTTCGGGGCCCCCGCAGCTGCCTAACCAGTGCAACCCTTACCTATGCGCGCCCGCAGCAAGCAGCAGCAGCAGCAGCAGCAGCGGCAGCGGCAGCAGCAGCAGCAGCAGCAGCAGCAGCCTTGCGTGGAACTCTAATGCGGGTAGGAGCGCCTCTAATTTAGCTTTTATTCCTTTCGCCGCACCATACTTGCCAGGGGGTGAGGCTGGAGATGCTGCTGCTGCTGCTGCTGCTGCTGCTGCTGCTGCTGCTGGGGGTGCTCCGCAGGCAGCGCCGCCGCCGCCGCCGCAGCAGCCCCCGGCGCCTCCGGCGCCTTCGCAGCAGCAGCTACTGCTGCTGCAGCAAATGCAGCAGCAGCACGAGGAGCAGCGGCTGCTGCAGCGCGACTTTCTCTCTTCAAGCCTCATGGGCATATCAGCAGCAGCAGCAGCAGCAAGGTGGTCCCCTGCCCCCGCTGGAAGCAGCAGGGCCTTTCTTGCTCCCGCTGAGGCAGCAGCAGCAGCAGCAACCACTGCAGCAGCAGCAACAGCTACTGCTGCGGCGGCCACTGCTGCAGCAGCTGCAGCTGCAGCAGCTACCGCGTCGCCTAACGGGGACCGCACTGAAGAAGCAGCGAGCAGCAGCTGCAGCAGCAGCTGCAACGGCACCAACTGCAGCAGCAGCTGCGACCGCTTCCACAGCAGCAGCTGCGACAGCTTCAACAGCAGCAACACCAGCTGCAGCAGCAGCAGCAGCGGCGAAGCTGCTTTTAGTGATTCTGGGGACCCCCCCGCAGCTGAGGGGCCCCACACTTGCAGTACTAAAGAGAAGAGCAACGCGTTGGAGGTTCGCTTAGCTGCTGCTGCTGCTGCAGCAAGAGCAGCAGCTGCTGCTTCAGATAGTGCAGTGGGCGAGGCGGGCTGAGCAGCAGCAGCAGTGGCTGCTGCTGCTCTTGCTGCAGCAGTAACAGCAGCAGTGCAAAGATCAGCACCGAAGCGTTTCACAGCAGCATCCGCAGCAGCAGCAGCAGCAGCAGCAGCAGCATGCTGGAATCAGCAGCAGCAGCTTGATACAACACTCAGCAGCAGCTGCAGCGGCCCTCTGCAGCTCTGAGAGCAGCAGCAGCAGCAGCAGCAGCAGCAGCAGCAGCAACGGCAGGAGAACCCGCAGGGGGTGATTCAAGTTCAACAGATGCAACAGCAGCAAGAGCAGGAACAGCAGCGACAGCAGCAGCAACAACAGCAGCAACAACGTTTACGAGAACAGCAGCAGCAGCAGCAGCAGCAGCAAGGCCTCACTGGAGGGGCGGGCTGGCGGCTGCAGTTGGGGTGTACGCACACCTGAACTGCGCATGCACTGGGTCTGCCATTCCGTTCTCTCGCAAAGAAGCATTTGTTTTGTTTAATTACATTTAAGTTATATTTTCTCGCTTATATTTGCATTAAGTTTCAATTAAAACAAGCAAAGGCCCCAAAAGTGCATGCATGCATGCATGCATGCATGCACGCATGCATGCATGCATGCATGCATGCAAAGCCGGAGGTGCTGGCTCGAGTTTATTTAAATTGGGTTTTGTTTGTTGGAAATAATTCAACTTTGAAGTGCACACGCATTTGCAAAGAAGCAAGCACTTGCCCGCGTTGCAGCAGCAGCAGCAGCTGCTGCTGCTGCTGCAGCAGCAGCAGCTGCTGCTGCTGCGTGTGGGGTGTCAGTGAGCAAAAGCGAGGCATGGGAGGCTCCTAGTGGGCTGCATGCATGCGACGCAGCAACTGCACTTGTTGAGGCATTTTGCTGCAGTTGCTGCTGCTGCTGCTGGCAGCAGGAAGCAGCTTGAGAGCCCTGGGGTTGGCTAGCAGCATTTGGAGTTTTGTTTGAATGGTTTTCTTTGTTTATTTGCTGCTCCCTGTCCCTGGTTGCTGCTGCAGCGCTGCTACAGCGCTGCTGCAGCGGCGCTGCAGCAGCAGCAGCTGCGTCGGGCCGGCGCTGCCGCGCTGCAGTGCCGCCGTCGAAAGTGCAATTGAGATGCAATTGAAGTGCAATTAAATGCAATTAAAAGTGGAGTTAAATGCAATTAAAAGTGGAATTAAATGCAATTAAAAGAGGAATTAAATGCAATTAAAAGAGCAATTAAATGCAATTAAGAGCCCTTTGAAGTCCTCCGGAGAGCAGCGCCGCAGCAGCAACGGGCGAAGCAGCAGTAACAGCTGCGGTCTGCATGCGTTGTTGCATCTTCAATGCATTCAAATAAATCATTTGTGAATTTTGAGTTGTTTTTAATCCGGGAAATCGCAGGTGTTGGTCGAAATCGCAAAAACAAAAGAAATGAGTTGTGGGCGTCTTTGCGGTGTACGTACACCCCAGCTGTCTGTACACCTCCCACCTGCCTGTACACCCCAGCTGTCTGTACACCTCAGCGGGCCACGCGGCAAACCCCATCCGCTCTTCTTTCTTCTTTTCTTTCTTTCTTTCCCCCAGGCGACAGAGACACGCGCATGCATTACCACTCTTATTGCATGCATGCATGCATGCATGCATGCATGCATGCGTTATTATTATTCATGCTCGTGGACTTTTGAAATGTTCCATTTCAAAGGCCAAATGCAATTCCCAGAAATGCATAATTACATATTCTATATAAATATATTTACTACCGCTCCCCACAAATGCAGTTGCCTTCTTGTTCCCCACCGTGCATGCATTGTCTGCATGCATGCGCTTGCTGTTGCATGCACTGCATGCATGCACTTGCTGTTGCATGCACGCGCACCCGTGCCCCTGCATGCATGCGTCTCCGCATGCATGCGTTTGCATGTGTGTGCCTGCATGCGTGCCTTTGCATGCGTGCCTTTGCGTGTATGCACTTGCATGCATGCCTTTGCATGCATGCGCTTGCATGCATGCACGGCGCCCACGGAACAGCTGCTGCTGCATGCAGCTGCTGTTTGTGTCTCTCGTGAAAGCGTTTATATAATGGGTTAAAGGAAATAATCAAGTTTAAAACGATTTAAGTAAAATTAATTTATTTAAAAGTATTTTAAATTAATTAATTTTATAAGGAGAGAGAAATGGTGCCGCGTTGTGCATGCGCATGCATCAACAACCCCGAGCAGCTGTATGTATACCCGACATATTTATATTTATATTTATATATATATTTATATTTATATTTATATTTATATCTATATTTATATTTATATTTATATTTATATCTATATTTATATCTATATTTATATCTATATATTTATATTTATATTTATATTTATATTTATATATTTATATTTATATTTATACTTATATTTATATTTATATTTATACTTATATTTATATTTATATTTATATTTATGTTTCGTCGATATTTATATAGGTATATGTATGACTCACGCAACCGAACCAGCACGAAGCCGAAGTGTTGAAAAGAGGTTTAATTCCGGCTGTCTTTGCCTGAGCCTGCATGCATGCATGCATGCATGCATGCATGCAGCTGCAGAGTGCATGCAGCTGCAGTGCATGCGCTGCACTTTTCTTTCTTTTGCATGCATTGTGTGCAAGAGTTTGTAGAAGGTCTTTCGCCGTTTCGGAATCGCCGCGCAGCGTGGCTCTTGGGGTGTACGTACACCGCACTCCTCCGGGGGCTGCTTCCAGACACCACAAGCCGTTATATACTTAAAACAATTAAAAAGATTTATAAATCAAAACATAATTAAAACAATTAAAAGGATTTATAAATCCTACGAAGGCGATTTCTGCTGCACTTGGCCTGGACGGCGCGCGTTTGCTGCTGCAGCAAAAGGAGGAAGCAGCTGAGGTGTACGTACACCTCAGGCGGGCTTGCTGGGGTGTACGTACACCTCTCGCTGGCGGTTCTTTCGCTTGTCTCTTTGGCCGATCAATTGCGTCAAAAGAAAAGTAAATTGTTTCTTTTTGTCTCTAATTGTCTTTGAATTAATTGGTCTTTGCTTCTGTTTGTCCATTTTGCTTGTCTGCTGCTGCTCGTTTGGCTGGCTGAAGCGCTTCATATCCACAAGAGTTGACCCTCAATTAATTTCAGTTTGCCAGGAATGGAGTTCTTTAATTTCTAATAATTTATTTACATCTTTTTATGAATTGTAAATTAATTAGAAATTAATTAATTCTTTTCAAATTAATGCAAGCCTGATCTCCCCCGCGAACCCGAAACGTTGACTGCCTTTTTTTATTAAGTCGTGCGATTTATGAACCACCAGCAGCAGGGAAGCAGCAGCAGCAGCAGCAGCAGCAGCTGTTGCTGCTGCTGCCGCTGGAGTAGGAGGTGCAAGCAGAACTGCAGCAGCAGCGGTAGTACTGGAGAGAGCAGCAGCGGCAACAGCAGCAGCATTGGCAGCAGCTTCAGCTTTTTCCAGAGTTTATTGAGAGGTTGATATCATAGTTTGGCTGTTTTGGCAGCAGCAGCTGCTGCTGCTGCTGCTTGCTTCTGCTGCTTTCCAGCAGCAGCAGCAGCAGGTTGTTTAGGTGCAGTATGAGCAGCAAGGAAGCAGCGGAGCTCGTTGAGCCCCAAGTCCTGCTTAGCAGAAACAGCAAACGCGAATGGCTGCAGCACGTGCTCTTGCTGCTGCAGCAGCAGCCGCTGCTGCAGTCGCAGCATGAAGTGGTGTAGCTCAAAAGCCTAACAGCACACCCGCAGCAGCAGCAGCAGCAGCAGTAACGACTGGAAATTCACGCAGACGACGAATGGGGAACAGCCTCACACAAACGGCAGCAGCAGCAGCAGCAGCAGCAACAGCAGCAGCAGCAGCAGCGCACAGAGAGCAAATCCACTTTAGTGACTGCAACAACGAAAGGTTTTTTGTTCTCGAGCAGCAGCCGCCACATTTCCAGGTCTTGCTGCCGCACGCCAGCAGCAGCATCAACTAGACAGAGAACTAAGCGCAGCCTGCACACAGCAGCAGCAACAGCAGCAGCAACAGCAGCAGCAGCAGAATGGCACAGCAGCAGCTGATGCCGCAGCAGCAAGACTGGGTTAACAGCAGCAAGTGCTACAGCAACAAGTGCAGCAGCAACTACAGCAGGCCCAGCAAATTCAGCAGCAGGAGCAGCAGATGCAGCAGCAAACATAGCAGCAGATGCAGCAGCAAACATAGCAGCAGCAACAGCAGCAGCAGTGTCCATTACTGTGTAGATCTCTGCAAATATTCCTCCACCAAAACCGCCCAGTCGCGCTTCAGCAGCTGCAGCAGCAACAGCAGCAGCAGCAGCACAAAATTATGACGGGAGCAACAGACAGCAGCAGCAACGGCTATTTCATTGGCAGCTGCAGCAGCCGCAGAAGCAGCCAAAACAGCAGCATTAGCTGTATCAAAAACAACAACAACATCAGCAGCAGCAGCAGCAACAGCAAAACCGTAAGCAGCAGCACCCATGAGTCCAGCAGCAGATGCAGTAACACCACAAAAAATGCCCTAGCAGCAGCAGCAACAGCAACGAGAAAAGCAGCAACAGCAAAAGCAGCAGCAGCAACAAGAGCAGCAGCAGCAGCAAGGGCAGCAGCAGCAGCAAGGGCAGCAGCAGGGACGAGACCAGCAGCAGCAATGGCAAGAAAATCAGCACCACCAGCAGCACCAACCAAAAGAGCAGCGGCAGAGGCAACGGTAGCAACAAAAACGAGCAGCAGCAGCTGCGGCTGCGACAAAACACAGCAGTGACACGAGCAAGAGCAGCAGGAGCAGCAGCAGCAGCAGCAGCAGCAACAGCAGCAGCATACGGGATCCACTTTTGCAAATCCGTAGCCCGGCAAGTCGACGAGTGTCAAGCGGGAGCCCAACTCAAACAAAAACAAGTGGCGAGTGCGGCCCTAGCAGCAGCAGCAGAAGCAGCAGCAGCAGCAGCAAATGCACGAGCAGCAAGTGCAGCAGCAGCAAATGCGGCGGCCACAACTGCAGCAGCGGCAGCAAATACAACGGCACCAGCAGCTGCAACACCAGCCGCGCTGCACAAGTGAGCGTCTGAACACGTCAACCTGCAGCAGCAGCAGCAGCAGCAGCAGCGACAGCAGCAGCAGCAGCCACAGCAGCAGCAGCAACAGCGATAGCAGCGGCAGCAAGCTGACTGCAGTTCTGCTGGTCCTGGCGACCTCTCGGCCAAAAAGGAGGCCGTTGATGAGGCTTGATTTTCCGCAGTTGGAGTGGCCCACAAAAGCAACCTGCAGCAGCAGCAGCAGCAACAACAGCAGCAGCAGCAGCAGGGAAGGCAGGAAGTAGTAGACTGGCCAACTGCACCCCCAGCAACGCAGCAGCTGCTGCAACAGCAACTGCAGCACCCGCTGCTGCTGCTGACTCTGCAGAGAGAAGTTCTACACAGCTATCAGCAGAAGGACAAAGGTCTTGCTGCAGCAAAAAGCAGCAGCAGCAGCAACAGCAGCAGCAGCAGCAAACCTGCGGGGGAGGTCTCCGGGGGAGGCGGTGGATCGTTTGGGCGACGATGACTGGGTGAGCAGCAATTGGCTGCCGAAAGAGAAAA